GGAAACCCTACCCTGTGCTACATGAGCTATAGTCTAAACCCCTAGTATCCCACTTAATAACGCCTGCAAGACTCCCCTATAACATCACGTATAGTTATAACCCCCACTGAGGAGCTCTAGACTATTGCAAGCACGAGTTGCAAGAGTAACGGGGTTTGCCCCAGAATGCGCTAAATAATTAGGGTTTAGGCTTCAGGACTTAGGGTTCAGGATTTAGGGTTTGGGATCCCAAAAATGGAACGTCCCAAGTTTCCTGTGGTCCCCAACATGTAGTCATGGAGTCGCTTTGGGGTTTCAGGGGCTGCGGGTAGGGCTAGGGATTTAGGGCCCCACTGGTAAGAGTGCATCAGCAACTTGGCCTGGACGTTGTTCTTCCTGAGCAAGCGTGAGTGTTGGGACATTACGCTAGATAGTCTAAACCTGATGGACCACAACCAATTGGGCCTGAGTGGCTCCATGGCGATCACTGTTCTCTTGGACGGCGATGCGCCCTCTTGGACGGCGGTGCGCTCTAGGTTCGCCGCGGTCATCTCTCGCCGCTCGGGGATCGCCTCTGTCGCCAATTTGGCCCTGGGGAATACTTGGCTGTATACATGGCTGTATACCACCCAGCCAGCGCTGGCGAGGTCCCCCTCCGCAGTCTGTTAGGTGAACGTTGCGTCACCTTCCTTGTGGCGCTTCGTACGACGCACCTGCCAGGATGGGCTATTAGATCCTATAATCCCCTGAACCTACCCTTATGAGGGCCCTAACAGGGAATTATAGGGTCTAATAGCCCATCCAGGATACCCTAAACCCTAAACCTTGTAAACCCTAAACCCCAAACCCTAGTAATAGGGAATTCGCCGAGGCTGTCCAGCCTCAGGGCGTTCAGACCTCAGCCTGGCCACCCCCCCCCCCCTTGCCATGGCGGGTGGCCTAGTCCAGCCCGACCATCCCGCATGAAATTTCAGCCTCGCCCAAGGTTCGAGGCTTTGGCGGTACGCGGCGGGCGCATTTTTCGTTCAAAACGGTGTTTCTGCTAAGTTTTTGGGGGTTT